GACCTTCTGGTTTGCAGCAACCTCATGTTTATTGTTTGTTCATATTCTTTGTTCAATATAGAATAGTTGCAAAGTGAATCGTCCACTTTTAGAATAATTTTAGTCTAAACTTTTCAATATTTTTGCAATAATTTTTATTCCACTGTTAAAATATAGTTTTAGACAATTTCTTTTTCCAGATAAAAAATATGATTTTAAAAACTCAGTGTCTTAATCCTTTCTTTTTCAGTTTATCAGTTTTAAAAATGTGATTGGATGATTAATTATATAAATCTCAAACTGACCTATGACCCCTCATGAGTCATTTTTACCTAGCATCTTCAGTATTTGAATGTCATAATTAGAGGCTGTAACAAGTGAAATATTCTTTCCATCCTTAGGAAGAACACACAGGTGTTCTAAAAAGGGAGGAAGTCAATAATTGAGTGCAATTTAGTTTTTGCTAATTATTGCTGTATGGAAGCAAAAATAGAACTCAAATTAAATTGTATCTACTTTCTCTCACAAAATATATGTTTCATCTTACTTGTCTTATTGTCTTTAGAACAAAAATTCAGAGGCCTTATAACATTTAATAGAGAATAATTGGGTCAGAAAAATAGAGTCCATGCAGCAGAAAACATTTTATGTAAATAAAGATATATGCACTTATGCATAATACTACATATTTACTCAAGCACATAACACACACCCGCTTGTCATACACATATACAGTCAGGCTTTTTTTCCAATAGTTTTTAAAAAAATAAATAATTTTTACAGATTATACAACCTTTAGTGGAAAGAACTTAAAACACCACCAATTCCTTTGGAAAAGAACTTTTGAATGTTAGACATTTTGCCCATTTTCTTGTAGAAACAGAAAGTATCAGAGTAGTTATCAAGGGATGAGGAAAAAGAAGAGACACTGGTTAGAGGGTATAAACTTCCAGTTAGAAGATAAGTCAGTTCTGGTAATCAAATATGCTGAATTACTATTATAGTTAGCAATCATATATTATACTAGAGGCCTGGTGCTAAAAAATTCATGCACTGGAGGTGGGGGGTCCCTCAGCCTGGCCTGCCCCCTCTCACAGTCTGGGAGCCCTCAGGGGCGGGAGGTGACTTGATGATCAGGAGAAGGTGATACCCCCATCACACCTCTGCAGTTGCCACGACCGGCAGCACAAGCCATGGCTGACCCTGGTTACCTGAGCCTCGAGTGGCCCTGGCGGCTGGGCAGCTGACACCTGAGGCTTGCCTGCACCTCAGGCCGGCCCTGGGCAGTTGGTCAGCCAACATCCGAAGCTTGCTTGTGTCTTGGGCTGGCTCTGGGTAGCCGGCAGGCTGAGGAGACTAGGGGGCTGTGGAGGCAGGTTTGTGGAGCAGTGGCCAGACCTGCCTGGGGATGAATGCCTGCCATGCTGGTGGGGCTAAGGGGATAGGCACCGCCATCTTGTGGCTGTGGGTGCTGCCATCTTTGAGGTCATAGAAGTCAATTAGCATATTCCCTCCTTATTGGCTGTGCGTGCCATCTTTGTGAGGGTGTGATGGTAAATTAGCATATTCCCTCTTTATTAGGTAGGATACTTGAGAGCTATTAAGAGAGTAGATATTAACTGTCGTCCTCACCACTAAAAAGTAATACTAATTATGTGATGTGATGGAAGTATTAGCTAATGCTACAATGCTAACTATTTCCCAATATATAAGTGTATCAAATCAAAACACTGTGCATCTTAAATTTATACAATTTTAGATGTTAATTATATCTCAATAAATCTTGAAACAAAAGAGGCTAGCATACATACCAGGTTAGTTTAAGATATATTAACAGATCACAAAATAGGAATTATTAGCAAACACTTTCAAATTGGCATTATGTAGTTTTCAGATGAGAAAAGTGTAGGACAGTTTAGAGAAAAGTAAAACAAAAATGAACCCTAAAGTAGAGGTAGGACTTGAACAGTGTTTTTAATGGAATGTGCTATTTCCATCCTGTTTTACTAGGAAGTAGAACACTGTCATTGAGTAAGGTCCCTGGAGTAAGACAAACTTGAGTCTGAATCCTAGCTTCACCTGGGAACCTTGAGTAAATTACTTATTATTTCTATGCCTTAGTTTCCTCACTATACAATGCAAATAATAAACAATGGTACCAAGCTTATTGAGTAGAGGAGATGAGATAATGAAAGGTTAAATATGATTATTTACATCAAAGTCTGACCCAACTAATGTTAGCTATTATTACTTAATGAATGTCTTTCTTTAGTTTCAGACAAAATATCAAAGACTTGGCGAGCATAAAGATATCTATAATAATAAAAGTGTAGTATGCAAATCGACCAAATGACCAAACAGCAGAATCACCGTCCAGACGACCTTCCAGATCATTCTATAACACACACTGGTGCCAAGCCAGCCAAGGTGGGTGCAATGCAATTAGTTGGGGGTGGGGTGGCCCTCACCATTGCCCTGTGAGTGCCTTTCAGAGGGAGGCGCAGGCCACCAACTGGCAAAGCGATCAATCAATTGGGGAGCTCCATGATTGCCTCAAAGAGGGAGGCCCAGGCCACTGACCAGTGGGCTGTGGCGGGTGGGCGGGGCCTCCCTTGGCAGAGTACAATAAATTGCATGATCACCCTGCAGGAGGCTCAGGCCACCAGCCAGTGGGGTGATTGATCAATTGAGGGGCTCCACGATCTCCTCAAAGAGGGAGGCCCAGTCCACCAACCAGCGGGCTGCATCAGGTGGGTGGGGCCTTCCTCTGCAGGGGCAATCCATTGCAGAGCCCCAGCTGAATGGGCAGGACTTACCTCTTTGGGGCTATCAATTGCAGGGCTCCTAAACTGAGAGAGTGCGCAGGCCAGGCTGAGGGACCACCCCCCCAGAGTGCATGAATTTCATGCACTGGGTCTCTAGTAAATATATACTAAAAATAATAAAACATACAACCCATTCAAACCAATCTAGATTTTATTCAAAATAAATATAAATTATTATAAGTTTTATTAATAAATAAGAATAAATTGTTATCATTTTACTCATCTTAAACTGTATTTATTTAATAAATAAAATTTGGTCACTGGGTCAAATATTAGTAATGTTGATCGATTTGGAGCTGGGTTAGCAGTATATACAGCATTAGCGGCAATTATCATTTAGTTTCCTTTCCCTTAATATGTCTAGCTCAGAACTTTAGACATGGTAGCTGCTAAATGGCTTGTTTATGGTAAGTGTTCCATAGAGCTGAACTTAATTTTCAGGGAGCCCACCCAAATAGTACTGTTTAAAATTTATTTTACAAATGACAAGCACTTAGTTATACACTTTCAGAAAAGGTCCGATAGCATAGTGGTTGATAACATAGGTCTTAGAGACATAAAGATCTCCATATGAATCCTGTCTCAGTACAATATGATCCAGGGCAAGCTAATCTAAGCTGTTTTCCTTGTTTATGAAATTAGGATAATAAGGAATGTGATGTACTTAGCACAGTGCCTGACATATGAAACGCATTCATGTAACAAGTGATTTATACCAAAGTTCAGATAAAGGAGTTTGAGAAAGATCAGTGCACCTTGACTTGTGGAAAACGTTTCAAATTTTGTTATTAAAGCCGACACACATAGTTTTCTCTCACAAATGGGAAAACACATTAATATCAGCCTAAAAGACTACAAACAACTTACACATATTTTCAACCATGTGCATCTTTTCTTCTGTTATAAATTATTTTTAGCACATAAAACACTTTCACATTGAAAACACGTTATAAGAAAGAAATTCTTTAGAGAATATAAAAACTTTATAAAATAAGTACACTCAGGTAGTGCTGTTAAAATTTGTGTTAACTATTAAAATGAAAATATTTGTGTTAACAATTAAAATGAAAATCTATTTGCTTTGAGTAAAATTGTACTGTTCCTGAATTAACCTATTTTATGTTCTGACATCATCTAAAATTGGCTGATGCAGCTCTGTTCTATGATGTTTTACAACTTCAGAAGGAAAATAGAAAATTTTAAGAGAAAACATTTAATTATTTGAAAATTCATATATCAGAGTTATTTGGTACTCTTGCATTTTATTAAGGAAGACAAGCAAAAATATAGTGAGCTATATAAATTTGTATAAAGTGATCATGAAGTCAAAGATAGCAATGCAGCAAATGATAATTTTAAAATACTTAAAAAAGTATAGTTTATAACCCTATTTAGAAATATACCTGAGTTTTATGTAAAAGCATATCTAAACATAATTTTCAAAATAATTATGTTTTTTGCCTTGATTTTTCTCCACTGGTGGGAAATTTAAATGATGACAGGAAAGAATTTATTGCATCACAATAGTTTCTTTCCTTTGTCTCTATTTTTAAAATAAAATTAGGGACTTTCAAATCATTTTTTACTTGTATATACTTTATAGCAATATTAAAGGAACTTTTAAAACCAGCTGTAGTTAAATTGCTATGCCGCTGTAACCAATTACATATAATTTTATAATTAGTATTTCATAATAGCTCTTTATTGGAATTAGCTGATTGAAATATTATAATCTTAAACCTCCAGTTTTAATTAATGCAAATTTCAACAAATTTTCAATAATTATTTTTACCTAATAATACTTTGGCTTTGGAAGATACAATGGATTAAAAATTACACGTTTCCATTATATAGATATATGTGTATGTTTATATGTATATGTAAATATACACATACACACACAGTTCCCTTGAAAATTTTATGCAATAAAAAACCCCAAAGTTTCTATTGGCAATATTTTTGGTTTACATTTCCATTTTCTGTAATAATTTCAATAACAGGAAAGAAAACACTTCTATTACTATATTTACAGAAAAGGGAATGCTTATGAGAAATGTGTAAATAAATTTCATAATATTTAATTTCTTATTTATTTTCAAATTTTCAATTAGGTTTAACTAAATTAAAAAATGTTAGAAAATTAAAGATATCAAAAGCCTTAAGTTAAGACAAACGGAAACTTTAAAAATCACTAACCCAAAGCATGCACTGCTCCTCTATGCCTGCTGGAACTCTTGCTTGTTTTAATCACTCGGGCAGCACTTTCTTTGGACTGCAGCTCACAAAAATTTGCAAGAAATTTTGACATTTCTTCTGTAACAGTATCCAGGTAAGTTTCTTTAATGAATTTCACTGTTGAGGATGGAGCTAAAATTTCATGCAGTGTGTTAAAATCCTCTTTTATCATGGAGTATAACCTAAGCATTGTACTTTGGTATCCATGAACCATTACGTCTAAATTTGATTCCCTGCTATAAGCAGGAAAGCAGTTCTGCAGAAGTTTATTCTGTATATTTTGATACTTGACTATAACTTCTGATTCTGGATAAAGAAACAAGAGTTGTTGTATGCACTGCTTTTTCAACAGAATTTTCTGCTGCAAATTGTTTATTTCATTATGGCTTTGTAATTTGACCACTAAGAAGCGTCGAAGATGTAATCGTATATCATCCCATATAGACTTTACATCCATAGAGGAATGATCTTCAACAGAATGAAGACAAGTCCTAGAGAGTAAGTGAAAAGATGTCCCGCTTAGAGTTGATGGAAATAAAATGCTGCTCTGGCAGGAGAGGTCCCAAAGTAAATCCAATATCATTTCTTCTTGATTTTGTTCATTCTTCAACAAATCTTGCTAATGAAAGGAAATTATAATGTTAGAAATGTGATTTATTAAAGGAGTAACAGGAAAAAAGATTTCTATAGTCATATAAAATTTCATAATAATTCATTTCAAATTAGAATTCATACTCTGGCCGAAACTGGTTTGGCTCAGTGGATAGAGTGTTGGTCTGCAGACTGAAAGGTCCCAGGTTCAATTCCGGTCAGGGGCATGTACATTGGCTGCGGGCACATCCCCTGTGGGGGGTATGCGGGAGGCTACTGGTCGATGTTTCTCTCTCATTGAAGTTTCTGGCTCTATATCTCTCTCCCTCTCTGTAAAAAATCAATAAAATATTTTTTTAAATAAATAGAATTAATACTCTGATGCTCTTCAAGGTGGGTGGGTGTTTGTGTTTTGTTGTTGTTGTTTGTTTTTGTTTTTGCATTTGCCATTTAATCAAGTCTAGACATTTTAGAATATTAGCTTTATGAATTGCTTAAATTTGCAAAGCCCAGATGATGAACTATATTTTCAATTAGATTTCTAGACATATATATTCTAGCCTTCACTGTTAGCCACCACTGATATAACATAGGCATTATAAAAACTACAGCTCAAAAATTCTAAATAAAAACATACAGTAAAATATCAATTGAAATGTATTTCTAAAATAAGCTCAAGATCACACCCTAATTATTAATAGTTGCTGGTGGCTAATTTTCATGCCTGAATGAGTATACATATTATAAAACTCCAAATGAACATAAAAATGGAGACCTTTAAATATAGTATGTGCCCAGGGGTTAGTAATAACTGCCATTCTGAGAAATAAAATTTAATATATTTAAAGACTTTAACTTTCATTTAAATTCGTTTTTGAGAGCCATGTCAAGAAAGATTTTACTTTGGATATTAATCTGAGAAAATTTTAATTTTCTCCAAATAAATAACTAACTCAAAATAGAAAAAAAATCCTCCCAGAATCTTTCCCCAAAAGATGCTATGAGAGAATTTCATTATACTTTCCATGCTGAGAGAAAACAAAGGTAGGTGTAATTATAAATAGAAAAGGGACAAAAAAATTACTTTCTTTTTGGACTTTAAATTTTACATGTACACATTCTCTTTACATAATGACTTTCTTAATTATGTGTATTTTAGTTAATACTGAAATTAGCTTATATTCTCTAGATAACATTAAGCCGATTGCAAGAAAAATGAAAGCAAAATTCAAGTGGCATAAAATCAGGACGCTTTTGAAATTTTTGATTGACAAAGATACCACAGATCACAACTCCTGGACAAATTCCAGGAATGTGCTTTCAGTCATTCTAAGCATTTCAATGTCTAATTTAATATTCTATTTTATTATATAAAAAGCACTTTTTCATCTGGCCAGTGTTGCTCAGTGGTTGAGCACTGACCCTTGAACCAGGAGGTCACAGTTGAATTCCTGGTCAGGGTACATGCCTGGGTTGCTGGCTCAATTCCCAGTAGGGAGTGTGCAGGCAGCAGCAAGTCAATGATTTTCTCTCATCATTGATGTTTCTCTCTCTCTCTCTCTCCCTTCTTTCCAAAATCAATAAAAACAAATATTTTAAAAGCACTTTTCTATACAGTCTCTGTCTTATTCATCATGGAAATGTAGCTTAGATATTTAAAATCCCAATCTACAGATAAGAACACTGAAGTGCATGCTAAGTCACTTTCTGAAAGTCACATACAATAAAGTGTAGAACCCACTATGAACCTTCAGCTTTATTCTCCTTGTCCCTGTTCAACCTACTACACTCTATGGAGCCATAAAGTGTATTGGCCTCTCGGCACCTTCTCTTTCTTCTCCATGATATTTTTGGAAAAGAAATGTCCTTAGAGTCCAGGATATCATTAGCATAGTAAATTCTATAAAGCAAGTGAGTCATATTAGTGCTGCAATCTTGCGTTTCTCATTTAAAATAGAGGGTGGTCAATAACTGTAAATATTTGACCAAGTATAATAGATTACAGAGTTTTAAAATATGTATTTAGTATGATTGCTTACATTTAGAAAATAACTTCAGGATAATTGCTATAATGAGGACCTCTGTTTCTTATTTAAACAGCTAGGTAAGTAATTAATATAACATTTCCTATGAAAAAAATATTTGTATGAAAAATACTGGACAAATGATTGACAATTTTATCAGGTAAAAACTTGATAATAAGGTCATTTTAATCTGGATCTGTTTTAATAATGTGCTCTTTCCTCAAAATAACATGATCAATTATATGAAAAAAAAACCTAGATCTCAAACAAGTCTATCAGTCTAATGAATTTGAGCAAAACTAAGGCGGCTTTTGCCCTGCAGTAAATACAGAATGACTTATGTGTGACAGATTAAAAGATAATTAAAAGCTTTTGCTTTTAATTAAATGAGAAAGCATTATTACATCAGTATTAATGAAATTCAATACACATGCCTCTTAATAGAAATTAAAGGAATAACTATATCCATATTTATTCTTCAAGGCTCCACCTTCAAGAGATAATGGGTGAGAGGATTTTCTTAAAAGAATAAGGCTTCAGGGCACATAATCTTCCTTTCTCTTCCATTTATTACTTGGTAAACATTAAAGAGACATCTGCAATAATAACAGCAGCCAAAAACTATTGTCATCTGATTCTATCATCCTAAGCCATCTACAACCTCAAGATATTTTCCACATCTGCCTTAGTCAATGTTTGATGTTTAGACAAAAACAGTGCTCCCTTTTTCCCCTAAATTAAATCAAAACCATAACTATGGAAATACTGCTTTCTAACACTTGTGCTGTTTCTTTGGGAAATAGGTTTTGCAAGCTAACACTTTTGTAGATACAGGGGTCATAAAATAAATGTTTTTATTGAAGACTACAAAATCTTATTCAATGTAGATTGTGGTCAGTATTAAGAAATTACCAATGTAATAATTCTCCACCAATTAACAGTGGTTTCATATAAATTGCTGCCTTGATTGAAAATAACGGGGTATGCCTGCAGGTTGAGGATGAAGGGAATGATAAGAAAAGGCTACTTAATAGATACAATCAATTGTGATCTGATTATGCTTACTAATGAGCTCAGAGAAAATGATAGTAAAGGAACACAAAATGTAATAAATATAAACTTTTCTGGTAAACAATTGTGGTAGGTATATACTTTGTGGTATACGTTACATCATAAATCAGCCAAGAGTTATATTTAATCTCCACTTATAAAAAACTTAATTTTATTGATAAAAATCATTAAAAAAAAAAAACCCACACAAATAGCTCGCTGGATTACATTGGGGATATAGTAACAAAACAAAACATAAACCCTAACCCCTAGAAATGCCAGGCTAAAATAAGTATTTACAAATAGAAGTTGTATGAATTGTATTCCTTATTACCCATCCCACTCCACTAAAAAGCAAAGATACTTATTTTTTTTTACCAGTGTTTTGAGAAACTTTATCAAATCTCCATGGGGAATAGAAGGTGACTTGGATGAATTATAATTATAGTTATTTAACCACTCAAAACAGTCAGTTGTTGTCTGTAACTGCACATCTGGACATTGTTTGTTAACTTCGGACTGTATTTCTTTAATGCAATGTTCTATGCTACAAAAAAAGAAAAGAAAAAATTATTTTGGTATAAAGTAGGTAATAGCTCCATCTCATAATATCACAGGCTCTGAAATGTTTATGTGGTACCTTATTGTATACAATTTATAAAATTATAAAAAATTCATATGATATGAAAATAATAACAAAGAGACTATATATTTCAATCATAATTGAAACTGAAAGTTCAAATTTTTTGGAAGTTTCATTTCAAATGCAATAGAGGAAATACAAGATATTTAGCTGCTCAGAGATAAAATAGAAATTCTTTTGTGTTAAAACAAATATCAAGTACAGATGCAATGAAATAATGGTCTTCTTGATAGGCAGTGGATGAAAGGCAGAGACAAAATACTCTTGATGGCTGAAGACCAGAAATGTACATTGTCTACTAATAGGAAATGACTATATAAAATTATGGAAAACTTCAATAAATGGAATATTAAGAGGTCACAAAGCAGATACCAGGAGCTTGTCATTTTAAAAGCTGAAAAATATATATGCTGTATATACACTCTTACTATAGTTAAATACCTCTTCCTGCCATTGAACTGTACTCCAAAAAACAAAAATGTACTAAAAATTGCAAATTAAAGAAGACTACAAGGAAATGAAACAAAGTTTAAAGCAATTATCTTTGAATTATAAAATTTGGTGCTTTTAAATTTATTTTTCTATGTTTTCTAAATCTTCATTAAATAACAAATAAACAAACTAGGAACAGAGAAAACGTGTCCAAGTGACCTTCCAATATATACCAGTTTTTAAAGTTTCATTCAAAGTATCCTTAGCTCTGATACAAAATATACTAGGTTATTTTATTTTTTATATAATAATCTGTACATTCATTATTATAAATCTTTGTGGGTTAAAATTGTGACCTTAAGCAGAATGTCATCTGTGGAGCCACATGGATGTGACATATTACTACCACCTGATGGCAGCATATCTAAACTGCAAGAAAACTTAAAAAAAAAAAAAAAAGGAAAATTCATTAAAACTGAATCCCTTCAATCCATAATTTACAGCTATTTGCTTCTTAATAGTGTTAAGACAGATTTATTATTAAAATGTTCTTACTGTTTTTAAAATAGCATTGTTATTAATTACAGATGCCACATGACAGAACCATGTAGGCTTTGGAAACCCAACTCCTATGATTAAAATTTGATGTCATATTAATGACTTTTCAAAATTCATCAGGTATGTGTTGTCTATAAAACATACACCATAAAACTTGAAGGAAGGCTGTTCAGGAGACTTCTGAGCATGAGTAAATTTAAACTGAATTATCTTGAAACAAATACACTCTGTGATCCAGAGAACCTTTTCATGAAAACAAAGAACTTAAAAGAAAAACAGTACCTCCTTTGGCCACAGGGTACTCATTTTCTTCATGAAACAGTCTTATTCAGGGATGCCAGTTCTAAGCCTGACTTGAGATCAGAATATAGTTTCTTAACTTTCATAAGAACTTTTATGGACTGAGAAACCTGATGCCCTAAATATGCACCTTGTTTCTAGAGACCCTTTATCAAAGTCTTTATTATAGCATTCTCAAGTATCTCCTCCAGTGAAATCCAGTAGATGGCAGCAATATGAACTGGGAAGGCTCAGTGGTTAGTCTACCTAAATCTGTTTCAATAAGGACTCAGCTTTTGGGCTAATCTCTAACCTCTGACTCTGGGTAGAGGCCAGTAACTATAATTTATAAATACAGTAAAGCCCAAAGAGGGGTAGATATTTTAGTAATTTGTCCAAGCACTGATAAAGAGATCAGGAAGTTGCATTTCAGAGGACCTCCCTCATTGGTAGAAACTAAGACAGTTGAGCTGTCTTTTAAAAGTATTTTGTCACAAATTTTAAAATGCCAGAACTCATCTGCACCTGATTTTTTAAGTTAGCTAAACATCTTGTCATTCTGCTATTCACCATGGTCTTATTTTCAAAGTGCAATTGTTTGAAGTATAAAAATTTATTGCCTGATTATTATACAAAAAATATTTTTCAAAATTTTAAATGAATGTTTTGTGTATAATCTTCCTTAATTGAAGTAAAAATTAAATTAAAAATTAAGCATAGTGGCTTGGGTCGATTTCTGAGTTCTCTATTCTGTTCCATTTGTCTCTATGTCTGTTCTTGTGCCCAAACCAGGCAGTTTTGAGAACGGTGTATTTGTATTGTAATAATAGCTTGATATCTGGTATTGAGATCACTCCAACTTTGTTCTTCTTTCTCAGAATTGTTGCAGCCATTTGGGGTCTTTATTTACTTATTTATTTTATTTCATATGAATTTTTGGAGGGTTTGTTCTAGGTTTGTGAAATATGCCTAGATAGACATATGGTTAGCACTTCTAATACTATGTCGAACAGGGGTGGCGAAAGTGGGCATCCTGTCTTGTTCCTGTTCTTAGAGGAAATGGCTTTAATTTTTGCCCATTGAGTATGATGTTGGCTGTAGGTTTGTCATATAAGGCTTCTATGATCCCTCTATTCCCACTTTGCTGAGAGTTATCAAGAAAGAGTGTTGGATTTTATCAAATGCTTTTTCTGCATCAATTGATAGGATTATGTGATTTTTTTTCCTCTCAATTTGTTTATATATTGTATCATGTTTATTGATTTGCAGATAATGTACCATCCTTGCATTCCCGGAATAAATCCCACTTGGTCATAGTGTATGATCTTTTTCATGTAATGCTGGACCCAATTTGTTAGAATTTTGTTGAGGATTTTAGCATGTTTCTTCAATAAATGGTGCTGGAGAAATTGGACAGGTACATGCAAAAAAAATGAAACTAGATCACCACCATATACCATACACAAAAATAAACTCAAAATAGATAAAGGACTTCAACAGAAGACGGGAAACTCTAAAAAAATCTTAGAAGAAGCCATAGGCAGCAAAACAACAGACATTTGTCATAGCAATATCTTTACCGATACAGCTGCTAGAGCAATGGAAACTAAGGAGAAAATAAACAAATGGGACTACATCAAAATAAAAAGCTTCTGCACAGCAAAAGAAACCATCAACAAAACAAGAAGGCACATGGTATGGTATGAGAGAACATATTTGCCAATGTTATATCCAATAGGGTCTAATCTCCAAAATTATAGGGAACTCATATATCTTAACAAAGAGAAGATAAACAATTCAAGCAAAAAATGGGCAAAGGACCTAAATAGACACTTTTTGAAAAAGGACATAGAGAAGGTTAAGAGACACATGAAAACATGCTCAAAGTCACTAACCATCTGAGAGTTGCAAATCAAATCAACAATTAGGTACCATCTCACACCTGTAAGAATGGCTATCATCAACAAATCAATAAACGACAAGTGCTGCAGAGGATGTGGTGAAAAAGGAACCCTTGTGCACTGTTGGTGGGAATGCAGACTGTTACACCCACTGTGGAAAACAGTACAGAGTTTCCTCAAAAACTTAAAAATGGAATTCTCATTTGACCCAGTAATCACACTTCTGGGAATATATTCCAATAAATTAGAAACACCAATCAGAAAAGACTTATGCACCCCTATGTTCATTGCAACACGATTTACCATAGCTAAGAATTGGAAACAGCCTAAGTGCCCATCAGCAGATGAGAGGATTAAAAAGTTGTGGTATACCTACAAAATGAATACTATGTTGCTGTAAAAATGAAAGAACTCTTACCATTTGCAACAGCATGGATAGACCTGGAGAGCATTATACTAAGCAAAATAAGCCAGCCGTAGAAAGATAACTATCACATGATTTCACTCATTTGTGGAATATAATGAACAACATAAAGTGATGAACAAAAATAGATCCAGAGACAGAATAGCATAAAACAGACCTTCAAGCCTCAGAGGGAAGGCGGGAGAAGGGGGTAAGAGATTAACCAAAGTACTTGTATGCATGCAGATGAGCATAACCAATGGACATAGACACTAGGGGGGTGAGGGCATGTGCTGGGGGATGGGAGTGGCTGGGAGAGGTCAAGGGGGGGAAAAGGAGACTCATGTAATACTTTAAACAATAAAGAATTTTAAAAAATTAATTTTCAACATCTAAGAGGCAACATTTCTTATATAATAGTAATATTTTTATATATGACAGTAATATGGGGATAGTCATCTTGGGTGAAAAGAGGTCTACGTATCCTAAGACTTAGAGGATACAGATTTTAGTCCAGGTTTTCTGAAAAACATGATACTTGATTTTATTTTAAGTGTTTTCTGTTTAACTGTAAGTTGCTTCAAATTTTCTTTAGAAGCAAGGTCAGTCATGAAAAATAAACCATGCAAATATAAATTTAATTAGCATATTTATTATTAGTTAACAAACATTAGGCCAAAAATGTAAAAAAAAGTCTAAAACAGAATTAGAATTTCTTCCTTAAATATCGGTAGCTTAAATCTCCAAATTCGCACCAAGAGTGTTTTAAAGCATCTTTTTAACATTATTTGTAATATTTAAACCACTGAAAATATCCTACATATCCATTAACAGGAGAAAGTTGAATTATATTCATTCATCGGAACAGAACCATAAAAAAGTAGAAATACAGTTATCAACATGGCTGGATCTAACAAACAAAATGTTGAGGGGAAAATGGTACTAATGAATACCACATTGTGATACTATCCATATAATAGCTTGAACCTATGAAATACAGTGCTACACAGTATTCAGGATTACAAGTATAGATGGTAAAAGTGTAGGGCAATGTGTTGGAATTACCAACACTACCAAATCTAGGATGAGGATGGAAGTGGGATGAGATTGGTTAGAGGTATACAATGACCTTTAGTGGTACTAGTAATGTTTTAATCCTTAAACCTAACAGTGGGTGTATCAATGTTTATTACAGTACTCTATATACCTTTTCATGTCTGAACATTTCTTAATAAATCTGAACCCTAAAGTTTTTTAATTATAATGACTCAGAATTATCCAAGTTAATGATGTGTGCAAGTGGATGCAATACTGAGAGGATGTATGTCATC